AGAGAGAGAGAGAGAGAGTCCAAGTTTTACGGTTTTCACGACCGGTTGGACCAATTGAATCATCAAACCACTAAGACGCCCGATTCGATGTCCGGTCCGGTTTTCAAAACCTTGATTTATAGCAATAAAAATTATGATTCGGTGTTAGGAAGTTATAATTCAACTCACTATCAATATCAAGTTATAACATATATATTATATCCAAAACCTTGCAAACAAATTTCAATATAAGTATATTTTTATAGGATCTTCCAATTAAACCCGAACTCACAATCACGATTTTTAAAAACTTCTAACAAATTTAAATAAGATCTCAAATCTAACAACTTAGCCTAAAATTAGTTGACAATAGGGAAATGAATGTGTTACTAATGTTTCCGGTAGTTCAAAAACCATAGTTTTTGCTACATTTTTGTAAATATGTTTATCATGTTAGAAGAATGTTAGAAGAATTATGTTGAAAGACCTATTGTTTGAGTTTTGGTACACTCAAAAGATAATGTGTTTTGCTTTGTTGGGATATAAGGGTCTTCAACGAGACATAATGGCAAGGCAAAGCTACAAAATCATCATTACAAACTATTTGCGACTATGAAAACTGGTGTTTCAGAAATTTCAACCAATTTCTAGATAAAGTTACAACTTACAGCGGATGAAATTGATGTATACTCTTTTATACGCAACATACATTAGCATATTTCAGTTTTCATCATAGCTTATTGGAAACCTCACTCATGGAAAATAAACGAAAGATAGTTGTGAACTTTCTCAGAGTATCAAAAATACAAAATTGAATCAAAATGAGCAAGTTGTTTTAAAGCATATCATATTGACTAGAGGGTCATCAACAAATATTAGTATGAAGGTATCTTTCATAAGAACAAAGAAAAAATACCTACTAAACTAAAACACTAATTCAACTACCCAATTCCACAAAAATGGCTCAAAATTAAAAATAAAACCAATTATTTCAAAGAAACACATTCCTAACTTCATCAAAAATCACTAAACAAAGCAACCATGGCAACAATGAACCATATTCGCAGCCGCTAATAGTATACAGATTCTTAATAACACTAATTTATTGTTATGAATATTTTTCCTGAGGCAATGTTTTCGATTAACAACTAAAATGGAGAATTTATCAAATTGGCAACACGGCAATGCAAATTAAGTAGGTAATTTATCATAACCAAGTTCGATTTTTCATTGGGTATAACCAGATAGAAACAAAACACATACATCAACAGCAAACTAATCGGATCTACATTCTAACATGATAAAACAAAGTCTAAGCCCTCTCACCACGAATCCTACGAGCGAGCTGCATATCCTTAGGCATGATGGTGACTCTTTTAGCATGAATCGCACACAGATTTGTGTCTTCAAAGAGCCCAACAAGGTATGCTTCGGAAGCCTCCTGGAGAGCAGCCACGGCGGAGCTTTGGAAACGCAGATCGGTCTTGAAATCTTGAGCGATTTCCCTCACAAGTCTCTGGAATGGAAGTTTCCTGATCAAAAGTTCGGTGCTCTTCTGATACTTCCTGATCTCTCTCAGTGCGACTGTTCCAGGCCTAAATCTGTGTGGCTTCTTCACTCCGCCGGTGGCCGGAGCTGACTTCCTTGCCGCCTTGGTGGCCAACTGCTTCCTTGGAGCCTTTCCTCCGGTGGATTTCCTTGCAGTCTGCTTGGTACGAGCCATCGGAAGGTAAAAAAGAGCTTCGAGAGGAAAAAGAAAAGGATTTTTAAGGATTGTTGTTGAATAAACTGGCGATTTTAGATTAAGAGTATGTGAAGGTTTATATAATGCACAATTGCACATATCTGGGAGAGAAATAGCGGCAAATTTTCAAAAGTGTGAACGAAATTTTGGTTTCAATTTGGACTGCGGAAAAACATTACAAGTTGGCAATCCGTGTGAGTTCCTTAGGACCAATGATATCTAGGCCGTCGGATTATGCGGATGTGCTGACATTTGATTTTAGGTATTTTGTCCCACTTATTTCCACTTTAAAAAAAATCCTACCATCATCTTTTTTTGTTTTTATGCAATGGTATAACTTTTTTGTTTGTTAAAATATTTGTTTATAGCTTTATGGGAAATTATTATGCAAGGTCTTGAACTACAGTGGTGACACAGGGGTGCAGGGTCTTCAATTTTCAAGTCTCTCTAAATTTTTGGACAAATATACAGTTATAGTGTTGGAATCTTCATAAAATTCATTTTTATATGTTATTATTTAAGAAAATTAGCAATGTAGTTAACTACATACACAATGTAATATTTGGTTGTAATCTTCAAATAATTTTAAATATAAAAAAAAATCAAATAATTTGTGAGATGACGTACCCAACAAATTCAACATTAAATATTTAATGGAGAATATATGAAAACATTTCTATGTGACATCAATCAAAATCAATATGTGGTTTCATCAAGTATAAATCTTGTAATATGTTAAAAGTTACGGTCCTTGCTGTCGAAGTTTACTACGGGATAGGAATTCCATCGCTATGACATTAGAACTGTTCGGTTTTAATCATTTTATAATGTATCTTCGACAAATATAAATCATGTAATGTAATAGATTAATGATTATGTTTTCTTCACCATACCATGTGATTCTAATTTACTTTAAACTCTATAAATAACTTAATATAACGTTAAGCTAAAACGTTAAATTATTTATATTGATATGTTAAATAATATTTATATTGATTTAAAATGTATAAAAAATAAGACAACACTGTAAAAATTATCATGTGATATGCATTTTTTATGTTTTTGGTTTAAACCATAATTTTTTTTTTGGATTGATGGTTTTTTTGAACTAGTTTCGTTGCTTTTGGTCCCTCAAAATAACGAAAAGACTAAATTGCCCTACTCATGTTTTTTTCCTATTTGTTTTAAAGTTTTATTAATAATAAATATGGGGCCAACGCCTCTCTCTCTCTCTCTCTCTCTCTCTCTCTCTCTCTCTC